CCTGCCCCAACGTCCAGCTCTGCTCATCCCCCAGGACCAGCGACCGCATCTGCACCTTAAGAAACAGCACCCACCAACTCACAAACCCCGCAAAAACAGCATAGACACCCACCTCCAACGCCGGCGCACTCCTCCCCGCACTCCACACCGCCAGGAACCGCACACCCGCCCACGCGCCTAGCCACGCCGTCCCATAAACCCCCGCCACAACCCCCCACCCCACCACCCTCATCCACCTAACCCACCCCCCTCCCTTCCCATGCCACTCCTCACCAACCCCCCCCTTAGCCCACGTCATCCTTGCCCACAACCCCGCAACAAGCACATCCTGCCTCTCCTCCGCCCTGATCAGCCACGCCCGACTCCGCTTCGTAAGACCCAACAGCAAGAAAAGCGCATAAATCGCCGACCCGGCTAACCAGAACAGATTCTGCGAGAACTCGCCCCCGAGCGCGGTGCTGACGTAGCATTTGCCGTCCTTGAGCGGGTTCCAGTGGTAATGTTCGCGGAGTGCGATGAGGGCTTGGAGGGGGACGGCGAGGAGGACGGAGAGGAGCATTGCGGCGTGGCGGGCGCGGGGGAGGGCGCGGGCTATACGAGATGTTCGCGCGCGGATCGAGGTAGAGACTGGCGGAGGAGGAGTATCCGTCGTGTCCGTCGAGCCGGTCGTTTTGGTCCTATCCGGCATCGTCGTTGTCGTTATCGTGTTTGTCGCTGGAGTACCCTGTCGACCTCTCCCCTCCCCATCCAAGCCCGAAACCCACATCGAATTAAGCGTCAACCACCAAAGATTGACTGCAATCTGCTCGTGGTAGAAGCTCATCCTGTGCAGTGTCGCCAGCGTCGTAACCACAACCACCAGCCCGGCCACAATCTGAACATCGCACAAGCGACGCGCAAGGCGATGCAGCGCTCCGGACCGCTGCGATATCCTCCTCTTCTCCTCCTCCGTCCCAATCCCCTCCCGCGCCCCCTTCAGCTCCAGCACCCCCACCAGCGCCCTGAACCCACGCCCCGGACCCGGCGCCGCGCGCGCCCAATGTTCACGTAGTATCGCACATGCGGGTATCGCAGCGAGGAGAACGCTCAGCCAGGCCGCGGCGAGGAAAGCAGCCAGCGTCCCAGGTCCAGCAATATCTGGCCGCGCGTGGGTAGGAGCGGCGCAGGTGCATCCCGCAGGAAGCCGGTGCGCGGACCAGAGAGTTGTGCCGTTGGGGAGGGTGCAGGACTGAGGTTTGGAATGCGGGGGGAGGAGGGCGGGGTTGGGCGTTATAAACATGGCAACGGAAGTGTCGTTGCCATGCGCTTCGGAATCCGACTTTGCGCTTTGCGCGGCGAGCGAGCGGAGAAGCCCGCGAGATACCGTTGTGCGCTTAAGTGCGTGTCTGCGATAATCCGGGAGGAGGCAGCTGGCGTATTTCTAGAAAAAGAGGATATAAACGTAGCGAGAGGGGTAAGGTACGAGAGAATGAATCGGAGGATGGTGGTGGTGGTAGGCGGGGAGGTGAGCGTGGTGAGAAGTACGAGAGGTACGAGAGGTGGAGAGTGAGGGTGCGAGGTTTGTTGCGTATGATGAGGTCGGCGATGTGCTTGGGACAAGGAGGTGCCCTGATGAACCAGGTTCTTATGTCGTGCAGGGTGCAGGGGTTGGGGGTTTGCATGTGGTGTGTTTCCGTGTCAAAGCTTCGATGGCAGGATCGCGATGCTTGTCTGATCGTAGTTCATGTGTTGTGAGGAACAGGCAAACGGGTACTTTTTGAATACCACTACACCTGCCTCCCGACAACCTGTGCGCCATGCTAACCCGTCCACACAAAAGCGTCCATTCCGCTCTAAGACACACATGATCCCCACGATACCTCAACGCCATGAACTCCCCACAAACTTACTATCCATTCAACCTCCTAAGCACCTCCAACATCAACCCCCTAACCTCATCCACCTTCCCCTCAAGCGAATCCAACCTCCCCTCTATCCCCTCAATCCTCTCCCACTCCCTCCCCTCCACCCTCTTCCTCTTAGCCCCCCTAACCACTTCCCACGGCCCCGTCCCCCCGCTCGCAACAATAGCACTCCACCTCATCACCCCCTCCCTAAGACCACCAAGATCCTCCCCCCTCTCCACCTTCCCCTCCAACTCCCTCATTGCCAGCGCACACCCCCCCGCACTAAGCATCCGCCCATGCGGCGTCCCCGGCTGGCTAGTCAACTCACTCGCCACAACAGCCCAAAAAGTAGTCGCCAGCACAAGCGGGTACAACCCCGCATGCGTCAGCGCCACATGCACCATATCACTCATCTCCCGCGGACTACTCGGCGCACTCGGTGGCAACAACGGCGGCGGCATCATGCTCGGGTAAACTACACTCGGCGGCACCGGCACCCCATCCCCATACCCCGCACCCGGCGGCACAACAACCCTAACCGCCTGCGGCGGTGCCGTAAACGCATTCGCCACAGTCGCCCCACTCGGCGCCGTATAACTCGCCGGGCGATCAAGCGGCGGCTTCGGCAGCGGCGGGATCGGCTTCGGCACCGCATAATTCCGTGCGGGGGGCGTGCTGCCCGGTCCCCGCGGGGGCGTGACCGCAGGTGTCGGGGTGTGGACTACACGCACGGATGCCGCGCCCGGCGTGGGAGGATTGACGACGCGCACATTCCCCGTGCCCGGCACCGGCACGCGGGGATTAACCTCGCGCCCGCCCGGCGTAATCGGCGTAGCCGGTGTAGCCGGTGTATCATCCCCATCCAAATCTAGCGGACTATCCGCCGTCCCCCCAGCCCCGCCCTTCCCCCCCGGTGCACGCGGCGAAACTGTCCCGCCGCTACCCTGTGGAAAGGCTGGGTAGGCCGCCCCAGCCGAGGTGTGCGCAGGCGGGGCGACCATACTGCTTTGTTGGGGAGTGCGCGTGAGGAAGGTTTGGATGGGCGAGACTTGGGCTGCAGGCGGTGCCGGAGGGCGCGTGAGGGGTGTGGACGGTGCTGGCGGGGCAGGCGGTGCGGGAGGTGCGGGAGGTGCGACCTGTACGGGGAAAATGTCGGCGGGGCGTTGGTCGGCGTGGGGATATGTATCGACGTTCCAATAGCGAAAACGAACGGGGCGGGGGTACGATGCAACGGGGGACGCGGCAGCGGCGGGCGTGGTGGCGGTCGGCGTAGCGACGGTCGGCGTAGCGCCGGCGGGCGCGGTAACTGCAGGCGTGGTGGGTGCCGTCAAGGTAGAAGCAGCAGGCTCCCCAGCCTGCGGATTCGGCTTCAACGGGAACTTAAGAATAACCGGCTGCGTCGTGGGGTCGAAGTTATAAGCCGCGCCGAGCCGCTCCTTGGTCCGCTGCTGCGCAACCCTAATTTTTTTGCGCGACGTCTCGGGCGTGACGTTGGGGACGAGTTCGTGCTGCGCTTCGTGGAGCGACCAGGCGACGAAGGTGCCGCGGGCGCCGGATTTGGTTAAGTGCTGGCCTTCGGTCGCGGGGCGGCGGGGCATCGACTGCTACCCGGTGGGCGGTGGGTGGAGGAGAGACAGAGGCGTGGTGGAGGAGGTGCGGGTTGGTGGGTGATGTAGGGAGCGTGGGTATGGGGTGCTGCGGTGCTGCTGTCGGGGGTGGTGATGCGCGTTATCGTGGTGGTGAGAAATATTGGGGCTTGTGGACGGGAGCTTGTCTGCTTTTGGGGGGGTGGCGTCCGGATAGGGTTTAGTGCTGCTTCTTGGCTGGCCAGGGAGTGTCAAAATAAGTGCCGAACATCTTGGGCTCAGGACAGGAGTATCAGCTCGTAACAACGTAAAGAGAACTAACCAATTTGCTAGACGTAGCCTCAACATGTAGATGTACGCGTCGACCAGTTTTTGGCATTTTTCTATCGCTTGTTGTGGTCGTAGTGTCATCACTGCCCTGGCGATCTGAAGTAAGGAAGCGGCCAATTCGGTCCACATATTCGTTCCCCTGCTGCTGGGGAGAGCTTATTGCCAGATTCGGAGGGACATGGAT